GGGGGGGGGGGGTAAGAGAGCCTTTATTTCATTACTGTGAAGCTTCTGGACACAAAACCAGAACAAGCTTGGCTTGCGTGGGGTTTGGGTTTTTTGGGCAATTGAAGATGATGGTTAGTCGTTTGGTCTGACAACCCATCTGCTAGCAAGCAGTCTGGTCAATAAAAGTACTTCCTTTCTGGAGCAGAACTCCTCTTTAACTAGCCATGACAATCTTTCCCCTGGTTTCTGTCTGAAAGTCCTGCTGCACCAACTAAAGTTTGGCCTTGTTCACAGAAGGTTCCCCTGCAGCACACAGAAAACTCTGCTCTCAAATCTACCCTATTTCTGTTTGGGATAATGAAGGTTTAAGGTTTAGCAGCTTTAAAAAAGCCCATATTAAACTGGATCATCAGCAATTAACTAACAAGCCCAAAAGCGTCTATGGCAAAATCCTCTGTTAAAGGAGAAACTTCTAGCTTATTTCTTCCAGCTCTTCTGGTATATTAAACTAAAATTTCAGACTGAAGGTGGGGTGGGATGGCACCTTAGAGACTAACTGGTTTAGAGAGGCACAAACTTTCATATGTAGGCGACAACCTCCTTTGTCAGATGCTAAATGTTTAGACTGAAAAAACAGCGAAGGGACTTACTGTTCTCATGCTTGTGTCCTGGGTAGACGATTCTGAAGACGTAGTCTGTAGCAGTCTCCTCTTGCATTTCATCTAGATCCACTGACTTGTTACTATTCCGTTTCCGAAGCTTTGGAAACACTTTACCCTGTGGTGAAAACAACCCAAGAGATTCAGCTATCGAGAGGCACGCTGGTGTAGCAGGAACAGACTCCAAAGGGCTTTCAACTAAGAGAGTCTGAGGATAAGCACAGCCTCTTGAGGAGTAGGCCAGGAAGGACTGCAGCCACGTGAGAAGCAAGCAGTATCAGCTGTTTGCTACGTATGCAGCTTGCAAAAGGATTCAACAGGAGCTGGGCATCTGAGGCCCTAGGGATCCTTTGAAAATCCAAGGCTTGACCAAGACGCATGACCAGTGCATTAGTGGGAAGGTGCTCATTCAAAGGAATGGAGTAAGGAGTGGTCAGCCTATAACAAGGGGTGCAAAAACATGGTCTTCCCTCTCTCAGTGGCTGGAAGCAATCCATCAGTTAGGCAATATCCCCACTGGCGTATGTCCCCAATGATATCAAGTCAGATGGTTGTGAGGGTGGTTTTTGCTTGATTTCTTCTCCCATACTGTGCGTGCATTTGTATTATGGTGGTGCTGTTGCATGGGACAGAAATATTAAAATCCCCTCGACCCCGACGACTTTGCAGGAAATGACAGTACCTTGCCCTGTTGGGACCAAAGCGGTGGCTCTAGTTGCCCTCGGGGCAGAAGGCCATTTTCGAGGCAAGAGAGGAAAGCAAGGAGGTGGCCTCCCTGCGGGAAATGGAGCGGAGGTCTCTGAATCCCATCCTGACTCACCAACACTAATGTCCCTCCACTTTCTGCTGAAAGGGAAACAGGAGTGAGTTCACGCTTCCTTTCACCCTGTTAAAATCATCATCTTCCAGCCCTTGCTTTCAGAGGGGATTCTATTTGGGGCTCTCTCAAAAAGTCCTGTTAAATTACAGCAAGAACATCACAAACTAGATTCCCTGCCTGCAGTCGTGAAATTTCCAGGGGTACCACGGCTACAAGTAACCTCTGATAGTCCCTGAACAGCCAGTTGTAAACAGTATTCATTATATATAAAACAGAAATGGGAGTAAAAGTAACTGTCTTGTATATTAAATAGGTTAGGATAGATGCATGCAATCTAAAACAGAAATGCCATATACAGCTAATATGGGATGCAGTCAAGGGTAGTACACTAGTGCAATTCGGACGTCTAGCTGCATCCATTGGTCGGGCCATTCAAATACAGAGAAATGGTTTCAGTGACTTAAAGTTATGGAGGGTGCTTGGGAAGAATGGTTACTGATGACTGTGAGGCCACGGATCAAGAAAGACTTTTCGTCCTGAAGCCAAGGTCCTGGGTATAAATCCCCGAAAGATTTCACACCTGTTAATCTGCCCTCTATGGAATAAGCTTAGTCCACCAGCCATGCAGGCAGACTTGCACCAGTGGCTGGAGAACAACACCAGGCATGGCCAAGCCATCCCTCCCATAATTTCTCATCTATTTTTTTTTTCTTTCTGAAGGGCGTTGCAGTGATGTTGCTGGCAGGATTACTATCCAGACATCTCAGTGCCGCACAGGCTGAGTGACCTGGGAAAACTGAAGGGGGTAAGACAAGCAAAGCTATACCAGCATTACAAATACTCATCCCTTACTGATCTATGAACCAGCTCAGTGGGTACAAGCATTAATATCTATCAGCATGGTCTGGTAGCCACAGTGAAGGGAGGTAATGAAAATTCAGAGAGAGAGAGAAATCATCCAGGAAAGCATCTGTAGGATGTGTTCCCATATTCCAGTATTTTAAATTTCACTTTCCATATCCTAGAGTTCAGATTTGGCTCCAATCAAAATGCTAATTGCATTTAATTTGGAGCTGTGGCTTAAACTTTTGGGATGGGGGGTAGAGATGGGGTCTTTTAGCTTAAGCAGCTCACACTTATGCTTTAGGTTTCAGATTTGATGACAAACTCTCAGGTGTATCATGCCAAGCTGACACTTGTCAGAGAAAAAACAAAATAAGGCCCCAAGACTGTACTGAACATAGTGAGCAAGGGATGCTTGCAAAGGCTTTAGGCAGAGAAATTCTCATTAGCTCCTTCAGCAAAGGAAGCCAAAGGAGAAAAACACTGCCTGCCCCATTGCACTAAATACCTAACAGGCAGCAATATACCCTGCTCCCAGCATTACCATGCCACATGCAGAAATGAGGCACCTCTGTGATGAGAAGGCTTATGCTTACGTTGCTGATGGCAGTGTATGCAGACGATCTGACTGAATGGCACGATTAAGGCGTAGTCCCAGTAAACACTGAAAGGAAGAGAATGCAGGACACCTTGTTTTTTAGGTGCTGTGCCAGAGCTGCATCGGAGTGCCCAGTACAGGGATAAGCCCATCACCAAACTGAGAGCTGCTCTCTAAACTTGGCCAAATAAACGGAACTTC